TTAAAAAGGGCACCCAAGATTGGGGAATTATTCATTTTAAAATAAAATTTTTCTGTTTATGATTTTATTTTACAGCAAAAAACCAAAAATTTTTTTCGATTTCTATCATTTTTCCCAAATATCTTTTAAAAAAAGGTTTTAATTTTTTATTTCGGGATTTTCCCTTAAAAATTTTAAATTTATTTTCAAACTTTTTTTTTAACCATTTTCAATCAAAAAGGAAAAAAACGAGATTTCCCCTTTTAAAAACTCGAATTTATAAGAAAAAAAAAAAAACCCTCAACGAAGGGGCGAAACCCCAAAACCCAAATTTTTTTTTTTTTACATGGGGAAAATTTTTTGTTTGTTTCTGATAGGAATTTGGGATTTTTGGACAAAATGGTTTTTTTTCCCGGTTTTCCCAAAATTCTGTAATATTTGGGTTTTTTTAAAACTGTTTAAAATGTTAATCAAAAAAAACAAGCCCAGGGAAAAATTTAAGAAAATTTTGGGTAATTAAATTTCCCTTTTAAAAAAAATTCCCCTCACCTCAAATTTTAAAAAATTTAACGTATTTTTAATTTGAAAAAAAAATTTCCTCCTTTAAAAAAGTTTTTATTATTTTAATTTACAAAAAAAAATTTGATAAAAAAAAAAAAGCATCGAAGTTTATTTTGTGTTTCGAGGGAAAGTAAAATCTTTTGGGGGGTTAAATTTTTTAATGAACCCCCAAGCGTTTTAAAAAATGGCAAAGGGTTTGGATGGAAATTTTACTAAAATTTTTTAAAGTCGGACGGCCTTTTATTTTTTGGGTTAAACCCGGGCCCAAACCCCAAAGGAAAATTTTAAAAAAAAAACACCCGAATTTTTTAAAAAAAAATTTCCTTTTTTAAAATTTATAGAAATATTTTAATTTTTTGTTTTAAAATGATTTTCGGCCCTTTTTTCTCTTTCTTCCAAAAGGGAAAAATTAAAAATTTAAACTTTAAACCCTTTTTTTTTCAATTTTCTTTAAGAACAAAGGAAAAATGCCCTATGTTTTGTTATTCGTTTCTTTAAAAAAAAATAATTGGGCTTTCATTTAGCGTTTGGGTTTTTATTTTTTTAAAAACGAACTGCATAAAAAAAGTCCTTTTTTTTTCCATTTTTTAAATTTTACAGATAAAAGGGATAAAAATCAAGATAAAAGAACTTTTTACAAAATTTGTCAACTTTTTAAACCCGGTTTCTTAAAAAGGGGTTAAAAAAAAATTTTCCTTTCCCAAAAAGGGGAAATTTTTTGGTGGGTAAATTTTTTTTGGCGCAAGTTCTTGCAAAGTGTGGTGAGCATACGCAAATAGCAAATTCTGACGATACTGTACTTGGTTAAAAAATATGTTTAAAAAAAAAAAATACTGCAATTTTGATATGTACTTCTGCAAATAGTGTTTCAACCGCTCTAGACCCCGTTTCAAATTTAAACCTAGTAAACTTCCGAAATGGACGGGACTGTCCGACATGACCGCAAGCCAGCTTATATTATAAACCTTTCCCAGCCAAATCAGATTGCGTTCATTACATTCGGACCTCCGGCAATGGATAAAGCATAATCAAAAAAGTCCCCACCGTTTGGGGGTGCGAAAATTAAAAACAAAATTTTAAATTTTCCCTTGGTAATAAAGAAACCTCAAAGTAAAAAAAGTATTAATGCAATAGTGATCTGAAGTACTATTTAAAATAAAGACCACTTTTCTAGTAAATAAAAATGATTTAGCTTTCGTATTCCCCGTAACAATGCGCTAAGAAGTTCTGGGCCTTGTAAATGCGAAAAATTTGACCTAGGTCAAAACAAAGTAATGTGTTCAAGAAAATATTCATAAAAGCATTTTTTTTTTTCATTTGTATAAAACGTGGGCTCAAAATTATGGAATAAGGTTTTTTATACTGTTTTAATCAAATTCTCGCTCTTGTTTTCTATGTAATTACAGTTTAAGTTTCAGTTTTTATTAAACCAAGGCAATATGATATGCAACTGGTTTATAAACAACAAACAAACAGAAAAAATAACAGGTCCAAAAAATTCACTAATAATTCACAAAATATAAAAATACAAAGTATGAACTAGCTTAATAAAACAAAAAGGAAGATCATAAGTTGGTTCATTTCAAGTTCTGGATTCAATACAACATGTAATTTTATATTGCTAACAAATGAGAACGGAGAATGAGAAGTTTACTTATCTAAATTTTAACATAATGTTTTTACAAAAATAAAGATAATTTAGAAGAATATTTTATCACAATATTATTAATGTGTCAATTTTAAAAATATTGGGATGAGTGTAAAACCTGCGGAAGAAGAGATTTTACGTCTTATGTCAATTAAAGTACGAACATTCAAATAAGTAGTGAAATTCATTACCAAATAGCTTGATACGGACATAACGAACAGACCCTATTATTATGATCAAATGCATATCAATTACAGCATCAATCAGGTCGCCAGATGGCTCAAAGTTCCCTATCCTGATGTTTTCTCTTCGAGAATACTTCTCAGCACTGTCCAACTTGTAATGATTTACAAGAACATTAGTCTTCATCTTCGTAAAATCAGCCTGACTAACACAGTCTTTAATCATATCCTCGAGCTTTACGTTGCAAAACCAAGTTGAACTTGTTTGACCTTCAATGGCGTATTGTTTACAAGTTTTGACAGCGCTATTTTTCAAATAGTCTCTGCCTCAAAAGATATTTTCTGTAGCCAGTTACGTATTCAGAGTAATCCATATAAAATCCAGTTTGACAAATAACATAATTAGTTTTGTTAAACAATAACACCTTTAGGTTAATTTTATGATTCATTTGCTCATTCAAGTTTCCGCTGATAGTGATAAATTTGAAAGGAAAATGTAAAAATTCTCTTCGGTGTTCCACAGTTGTTACCAGTCAATAAATGACGTTCTACCAGATATTTACACATGCCATTGAATGCCAATCTCTTTTCTTATGCATAAGTCTGACAGAACTATAGGTAAATTTATTTGTTAACAATTGTCATATATATTCTAACGACCTGATACACTTAACAAAAGTTCTAACCGATCACTTTTTAAGTTTTGATTATTTTATAACGGGTCAATAGATCCTTATAAAATTTTGCAGAGGTGATTTTTGTGTCATTTTCTACCGATTTGTGGAAAGAAAATAATTTAATACGGTTCCATGCACTCACGCGGGAGACAGGGCGCGGTTTACACATTTTGGCACGAAATTTTCGTGCAGAGCGCGGTGAGTATTAAATTTTACAATGCATAAATCTTTGTTAACTTTATAAGTGAAAAAATCTACAACATGGCACGAATGTCGATACAGGGTTGTGTCGTAGCAGTTAGAATGATGAATGCTGGAGCCTCTATCAGAAAGGTGAGTGGCTGGTTATAATTTTTTTTTTTTTTAAATTTCGATAAAGTATTATTTAAATAGAAAATGTTATACTTTTATTATTCTCAATGTGTTCATTCTCTTCGAAATAAAATAAAAGTCGGATCTATTGGTATTATTCTTTTTTCATATATAAGCGAAAACTCAGGGTGATCGGTTAGAACTTTTGTTTAGTGTAGAGTAAACACAACTGTTTAGATGTTTAACAAACATAACAGTACATAAAATGTTCAAGTACAAGTCATTCCTTTACATTCCCCCTCCTACGTTGCAAGTAATCCTCTTGGATTATGATTAAGGTTTTTGTCTTTTGAACATGTGCACATAAAACCAGAGACATAGATAACACTTATTATCCTGGAAGTAATTATAGAGAGTTTTAAACAACATTTTATATTAAACTATGAAATTTTGTACAACATACAATTTTAAACTTTTAAATTTAAACAATTACTTGAAAATTTACACAAAAACATTCTAATGTTTAATATCGTAATTTTTTAAACGCTTTTAACAGTGTCGTATTTAATGTTTCACAACGTCATGTGTAAATTGTTTTAAATTAACACTGATTGTGATAATACTTTAACCTTAAAACATTCAACTTCAAAACTCAACAGTTAATTTTTCTGTTTTATACAAAATTACATATTATTTTATTTAATTTTCATATTTTCACGCAGCTCTTTGTTTCACTCTACGACTAACACAACACTTTGTTACATTTCACTCATTATAACCACCTGTTCTCAACTCATATATTTACCAATTTTTACTATCCACTGAGTATTTAATCTGTTGTATGTAGCCTAAGGGGAGCGTCTATGCTCCTCAGTTTTAACTTGAAATCCTCAGATGTTTTTCTTTCGTCTCTTAAAAATTTATATGATTTTCTAGTCCAGTAGTTACTTGCTTTCCGCTTGCAACTTCCCTGACAGTTTGGTAACAATAAAACCTTGTTCTGGATGTCCCGATTTCTTTCCTTTCCTTAACACGTTTCGCCGACCCTGGCAAAGCCAAGTAATTGAATCTGTCTAGGAGATACGCTCTAGACATTCTAGGATCAACCGAGCCTTCGGTTTCTTTTTCTAACGTCAAAGCAGCATATTTCCACGCAAACAGTTTTCGATCAAGCGAGCGTCATCTGCTGCCAGTTTCGATGGGGCCATGAAAAATTTATTTCTGGTAAACTGTACTGCGTCATTTGTCCCCAATCTCAGCGTCCTAGAGGACAAATTGGCATGACTCCTGTAATAAGTATGCCTATTTCCAACTCTTGCAATTCTCTATCTATTAATTCTTTGTCAGCAGGTATTGTATGTCTCCTCCAAATGCCATTGTCTCCTCTTCCTAAATTAACTAATTTTCCATTGTCTTTTTTTACAGTTTGACAATTGGTTTGCATCACATGCTCTTCTTTCTTTTTCATGTATTCGTTGAAGTTTATTTTTATTTGGGTTTGTTTCATTAATTCCATTTGATTTATTTCTAATTTTCGGTTCACACGTTCAAGTTCCTTTGTCAATATGTCAGTCATTAGTGGCAACTCTCTTGGAAAGCTATCATGTGTTTCTTCCAAAAACAGGGTTTTGTTGTCACTAGTTATTTTACTGGTACAAAACACTCCTTCATTATGTTATTGTCACTGACTTCATATTCTGATTTTGATTTTCTTTTAACATGTTTGTCTTCACTTGTGTCCGTATAATTATTTTCTTTATTTTCAGTGTCTGTCTTCTGTGTCTTTATACGATCGTTTCTCTTTTCGTTTTCATGATGTCTCTTCCTTTTTCTCTTGTGTTTGTGCTTCTTTATACTCTGCTGATGTTCATCACTTTTGATTTTGTATACCATCTTTGTCTTTATAATGTATACATCCTCGCTATTTTCTTTTACATTTTCGTCAACTTTATTTTCCTCTTTCTTGTCCCTGTTCTTACTTTTATTCATCAACACTTGTCTATCATCACATTTTACATCTACCTTCTTAAACCCTTCATTCAATTCCTCTTTTCCAATATTTTTATCCTCTGTTCCACTTTCCATAACACTTTTGTTTAACAGGATTTTGGTATTTATATTTTCCTTCTCATTATCAGATACTACACCACTCTTTTCTATCTCCTTATTATCTATCTTAACATCAGATTCTACACCACTCTTTTCTTTCTCCTTTTTATCTATCTTAACATTTTCACTGTTCTCATCATCAGTTGGCTTTTCATTATTCAAGATCACTTCAGTCTTATTCTTATCTTCAGCTTGCTCTTCTATATTTATAATATTTTCTTCATTTACATTCACCATATCACTTCTCATTTCACTTTAACGTTCTTGTGTGTTGATACTTTCACTTTATTTTGTGTTTGTTTCTCTTATATGTCCTTTGATTCTTCTTTAATTTTGTTATTCTCCTCTTTCAGCCTTAGTTTCATGACCTTACTCCAACCTTCTTGTATCAATTCGAATTTAACCGACCCACCCAATTCGTTTTCTATATGAATTCTCATTAGCCGTTTGGCTTGTATTGCATCACCAGAATTCCATGATTCTGGTTTTGATATTGTGCGAACATAGTCCTCTGGAAAAAATGCGGAAAACAGACAATTACTTGTTAAGAAGAAAGACCTTGACAGATTCTTACAAGTATCAAAGTGTGCTGTGCGGCATAGTCTTTCTAGGTCACCGGGTTCTCTGTAAGACAAAACACACATACCACTGTCTGTCGTCTGTGCTATTTAGACCCGAGATGGCTGTTGAGCGCAGTTTTATTTGGAAACTCTTTCAAACAGAGACAGCACTTGGCCATTGTCTAAAATATATACATAAACATAAATATGTATTTGTTAAAGTATGCTTTGTTGAAATTTCCTGTTGCGTTAAGAAAAGTATTGTAAAATTAATATTTATTGTTTGTTATTTATTTATTTTTACTTGTTATCTATTTACACACTGTTTATTTGAAGTAACCATTTAATGTCTACTCAATAGTTGCATGCTGTTAAATTTTATTATACAAATATTCTACACTAGAGTTAGCTCACACAATCTTTTAACATTTCTTTTTCGCTTTTTTTGTTGACTGTTAATGACATTCATTGTTTTAATTTCTCGTTATACTTAGACGTTAGACTTTTGTCTTCTTCTTTAATTATTGATATCCTTTACATTCGAGCAATTTCGTGGGTTATCCACGGATGAATAGTAACGCCTAAATAAGGCCACAATCGGTCAATATGTACCATATTGATCCACTTCGGTTTCATAACTTTGGACCGTTTCACAAGGCATATGAGATCGTCTAAAACGTTCGTAACCAAGTATGGACCTTTCCATTTATTAACTAATTTCGAACACACACCTTTATGGCGAGTAGGGTCATGTAGCCTACTTTGTATTTTCGTGCTTTGGCATTAGAGTCATAGTGGCGCTTTTGATATTAAATGTTTCTCTTATGTTTTCTCGAGCGATATTGTGTATATGCGCGAGTTCAATGCGTAAGTCCTAAACGTACGTCGTCAGTCATACCTGTCAAGTAGAAGGTCTGTTTAATTTTGTCAAAGCCAAGATGCCCTGCAGCTGATATATCATGATAGAAATAAAAGACTTCTTTACGTTTACAGTCTGGTAAAATTAACTAGAGTATATGGGACTTGTTATCTATTTCAAACCTACGATAAATCATACCACCCTTAACTTCCAGTCTGTCCAGCCGGCGCCACAATGTCTTTAAATAGATAAAATAAAAAGCCTTACACGTCAAATTTGAAAATGTTGCAGGCTCGGTTTGATTGAGCCTGTTCATGGACTACCGTCCACGCCCCCTAGGACCGGTTTAAGCAGAATTCAACATTCAAAATGAACTGGTACAATTTTGAATTTTGGAACATCCGCAGATGTGTTCATATGGCGGTTATCATGGAACCTTAAATGTGATACGTAAGGTTTGCTTTACCACTAGAGACTTTCGACCAACTAGGGCGACCTTAATAGTTTAATTTAGCAGACAATATTGGACCAATATTTGGATCACTTAATTGATTATTTTGAACATCAACAGAAGACCAGCCATCCAAGAGTCACTGATTCGCTTTCTTGAACTTTGGCACTGTCGTTTCATGTTGTCACGCTCACTGTAGCAACATATTTCCTCCATCAGCTTTTTCACTTTCGCATTTATCAGTGTCATTGAGATTTTGTTGCCGTGCACAAGCATTACCCGGTCTTCTTGATAGGGTATTGGCATTGTTATGACTCCTTCCAGGCCTGTGTGTTACGGTCATTCTGTAGGTGCTTAGCTCGTGCAGCCAACGAGCAGTTTGGTCAGTTGGAGCCATTAAGCTTTGTATCCAATTAACAGCAGAGTTGTCTGTTCGTAAGAGGAACTGGCGGCCGTGTAGGTAGTGATGAAAGTGCTTTAAGCACCGGACCACGGCTAGAAATTCTTTCCTAGCAATAATGCTTTTCGTGCAGGTTCATTGTCTTACTCATGTATGCAATGACATGTAAGTTACCCTCTATAATTTGCGACAAGACGACATCAGTGGCATCGTCACTTGCATCAGTGTCAAGTATGAATTGACTTTCTGGTCTAGGGTAGACAATAGTCTCGCATTATCAGCATAGCCTTTGACAAATTTGCGGGAGTATCCTGTTAATGCGAGAAAACTCCGGACTTACTTCTGAATTTGAGGAATCGGCCAAATTTTGATAGTGGAAATTTTACTGTCATCAGTACTGATGCCCTCTTCAGACACTACATGACCAAAGAAAGTGATATACTTCTGGAAGAAAATGCACTTAGAAGCCTTCAACTTCAGGTTGTATTTTTGTAAGCGCACAAAGACATTCTTAAGTGTAGCAAGGGACCCATCAACTGTTTTACCTTGTTTTATAATATCGTCTATATATAAAAGTGACTTGACCCACTGCAATCCCCTTAAAACATTTTCCATGAGCTTTTGGAAAATCGCAGGACTGTTTGCAAGACCAAAGGGCATGACCTTGAAATGAGACATGCCGTTAGAGGTTGTTGAAAAAGCGGTCTTGTACTTGTCATTTTCGTCCATTTTCACCTGCCAAACACAGGAGCATAGATCCATACTACTGAACCAGCTGTTTCCCACACGTGCTTTAAGGCAATCATCAACTCGTGGAATGGGATAGGCATCCACCTTTGTTACTGAATTCAACCTTCTGTAGTCAACACAAAACCTACTGGACCCATACTTCTTCGTAACCAAGACTATAGAGGATGACCATTCACTATGTATAATGGTTCGATGATATATTTTTGTAACATTCGCTCACTTTCTTCAATTTCGTTCTGTCGTTTCCCCAGTGGCTGTCGTCTAGGAGTTTGTTTTATAGGTTGGGCATCACCTGTATTTATTTTATGTTTAACCTTGTCAATGCAGCCAAGGTCGTCAGAAGATTCATTAAACATATCTCGAAACTTTCGCGATAGAGCTTTGAGATGACCGATCTGGTCTATATCAATGTGTACTGAGCTTCTTTCTAACAATTCCATCAGGTAATCTGGCAATCCTCCATTGTTTTCATCTTTTACAACCCTTTCAAACTTCCAATCATGACTATCTTTAACTGATGCGCTATAACCAAGAACTTCTGCATTACTTTACTAACTTTTGTATCACCCTGTTCCTCTGCATGTACAATGGGGGCTTCCAAACCATTTACATTTGTCTCAGCACAGTTCGCACTAAAATGCTTATGATATTCATCGTCTTTTGTATTCGAAATTATAACTTTCGCACTGTATTGTGCATCACCAACCTGTTCATTTGATGACTTGCAAAGTTTACGCCTAACTTGAGATACTATCTCATCCTTGTAAATGACACCAACCCCAACCTTTGACCTATGAGGTTCTACCAACCCTTCGACCTCTTGAAAAGATGCGTTTGTATCTTTTATATTTTCCACAAAACATGTAGGAAGTTGCTCGTTATCAGGAATAACAACACTTACAAAAACATATGATTGAGGAGGAAATTTGATTTCTTCTCTAACTGTTACGCTTCACACGCGATAAGCTTCATGGCATGCAAAACACTGCACACGTTCACTGGTTCTCAATATTAGCTATAGATTATCGAAATCTAATTGCTTCGCGTGCTTCAATATAAAATCTTGACCTATAATTCCATCTGCTGTAATGTTACAGACAATAACTGGATGATTAATTATTTGTTGCCCTAAGTTTTTTTTTAAAAATGCTCTTTACAATAAATTTAAATATTTGAACCATCTGCACCTTGTATACTTAAATTTATATTTTTCAGTGTGACTCAATACCCAATTTATCAAAGGTGTTTTTGGAAATTAAAGTAGCTATCTATCTATCTAGTAGAAAATTTACTGCCTTTTAATTAATATAACCATTCACATATAAAACATTATCTACACCAGCATTTTCTGTGCCCACTTGATTAACACGACTATACCGGGCAAGGTGATCAAGTCCCTGGCATATATACCATTTTCTTTGGCCATCTCTTTCTGTTCTCTGTGAGCCCCTTTCTATACGATCTAGTCGTATCTGGATAGATCTCAATGCCCGTTGTATTCCGTCATCTCATCTTTCACTATTCCGATCTTGCCATCTTACCATACGCTTTCCATAATCATCTCTTCTTGTCACTTCCCTCTCAACTTCAGTGCTTTCGATTTGTCTAACAAAATTTCTTCTTCTCTCAAGATGTGAACTCATTCAATAGGTCCCCATAGCGTTTCAACACTTCCCAAATGCCTTTTGAGATTGTTTCCTGCAAGTCTTTTGGCCCTCATTAACCTTTGCCATTTCATTCTACGGAAATAAAAATTTTTAACAGAAATGTGAATGCAAAGGGTCTTTTGTGCGCCTGTTCGAGGTTGCAAGTTATGCCTTTCCTAACGAGTAAACCTTTAAATTTCATCCCAAAAAAGTGCAAATGGCTTTCCCACAAAATTTTAAAATCGAGTTTGAAACTTGACACCCATCGGTCTGGCTTGCCTGGCACTTCCAAAAAACGTTATTTCAATGCACATGCAAGAAAATCCCTGAAAGAAGCCTTTATCTTTGGTCTAGTTAATGTATATAAGAAATGGCTCGAGCTTGACCTTTTGAGGCTAGCATCCAGTGTGAGAGAAGCTTATCTCTTGAATCAATTCCATTTCCCTATTTCTGCACAATCTTGGAAATGCGATAAGTACTGTTCCCAGTCATCTTCCCTACAAGTCAGATCAAAGTAAATCTTGGGGTCAAACAAATTGCAACACAAGCTTTTTTTTTTACATAATTCTATTGTCAAATGAAT